GCTGCTACAAGCGATCGACCTCCAAGATCTACATTCTGCCAATCTCTGATAATTTTCCATCTTCATCAGGGGAGAACTAAATATGTCTCTTCCAACGATGGAGGTCGAAAGACCTCCGCATACCAGTTAAGTTATGTAATAGTTCAAGACCAACAATTGAAATGGCCTTAACTCCATTTTGTAAACAAACCTTGTAAGGCCATTTTCTCGCGAACCGAAACCTTCATTCGCAAACCTAAACCACAATCGGGTAGAGGAGAATTTCCTCTAACTGTTCATTATGTTGGTTTGCCTATACGGAGTTTGGTTCGCGAGAAAATGGCCTCACAAGGTTTGTTTACAAAATGGAGTTAAGGCCATTTCAATTGTTGGTCTTGAGTTTGAATTTCAAAAAGTTGATCGGCTCATTTTTCATTCCTAGCCACAATTTCCCTGAGTTTCGACTCCATTCTATCGAAACCGAGGATGTAACTATTCCGATTATGTGTCCAAATGTTGAGGTAACCAGTTTTGCTCTGGTGGTAGTGCATGGAGCAGTAGGGTTGAACCTAGCTCCCATGTTCACGTCTAGAACATCTAGAAATTGATTTTCGGCTTCGTGGCATCCGTTACCATTTCCGCACTTAAAAAAACCATAGGCAAAAGTGGTTAACGTCAATATCAACCGGTAATTGTTGTTGTTTATTTACCTATCATTCATCTCACTTGTTTGTGGTCTTAATTAACAGTTAAATTTATGCACAATGCATACATTGCAAAAAAAAACTTTCTAAACTAGAGTATTACAAAAAGCTATCGCCTTAAAGATAGTCGTTGTTGAAAAGTTCTTATGGTCAAGTTGAAGTCTAACAATTCAAAAACGTTGTTTAAAGCACTACACATAAATCTAATGAGGTCATGTTACAGGCACCAAGCAACCAAACTTGACTCCAAAATTGATCGTACCAGCGAGCAATACAGGGATCGTTGGCAGAGGTGGTCCCGAAACTCTACAGAAATTTTGAATATGAATCCAAGCTGCCTATTCGCTTTAGATATTACATCGCTGTAGTGTACTGTAAGAGCGCTATCTAGCATAACATCTTGATTTGTTGTCTTCGGTGTTATGCTCGATAGCGCTCTTACATTTACGATTCCGTGGTAGTTGTGTCACAAACGGCCCTTTTCATGGTCTCAGTTCTTTCACAGACAAACAGACGGAACTCTTCATTGTGTATCTTCGTTTATGCTTTTAACGGTTGATTTGAATATTATCAGTTCCGCGAACTACTTGCCGCAGCGCTGGCATCGGATCACTTTGACGTTTCTATATATTGTATAGAACTTGTATGCAATATTGTTTTTCGAGCTAGCGAGCAAGCTTGTTTTCCGCGAGAAGCCAGAGAGATGTCGTTACTGAGGTTATATGTTTTGAGATACTATGTTTTCAAGAACAAGTGTTTGTCTGGGGTTCTTTCTTCTTTCGTGATGCACATTACCCTCGGGCCATTACTACACTGTTGACGTTCCGAACCAGTCCACACCTGATTGCATTGTGTTCATAGCCGAACATAAATTGGTCCTCCGAGCCGGATACGAAACTGTTACGAAAAAGTGTTCGCCGACAGCGCGTAGGACAGCAGTGATTGACAACGTAATCATCACTTGGTGAGTAGAAGTGAAAATTTTGCTGCATAGAAGCGTTCACTGGAAGCATGCGTGCGAAGAAAAGTGTGCCATTGTAGGAGGCATCCGATTTTACAGTATCCACCGTCGCATAGTGTATGTATCCGTCACCTCGTGAGTTGGTGTCAAGTCGCGAAATTTCAGTTCTCGCTAGGAGCGTTTGATCGCGGACAGGAGTTTACTAGATTGTTTCGAACTGCAGAGGATGGTAAACTGCTTTAAAATGTAGTGTTCTCGTAATTCCATGGCGGTTAACATTTTGAAATGCAGTATCATTTCGTTCCATCGAAAAATCAAACCGTTTGTTTTTGACTACTTTATCGCAGAACATCCGCTACAACGAGTAACTCAAATTCGAGACTTGGGTGTTATCGAAGACAACAAATCAAGAAGACTGGCAACTCTTCCATTTTCTCATACGAACGGTATGAGACAGGTGCAATCGCGGCATCTGCCGCTCAAAGGTAAATGCTTCGAACGAATTTGATAGCAAAGATTACATCCTCAGAAGAAGGGTTTGTGTATTTGCTCATTTTTCTATGCGTTGCTTCCACCTTCACTTAAGCGCCGCGCCATTGTATTTGTCGCTTGGATTCTAATTTATTGTCTTCTATAACACCCAAGTCTCGTATTTGCGTTACTTGTTGTAAAGGCTGTTCTGCGATAGAGTAGGTGCCCAGACAACCAGAATGCAAGTATATTCAAAGTTGTTTTCATGATAAACAAACATATATACAAACAAGCAAATCGTATAGAAAGCAAATAAATTGGTTTTACGTACAAAATTGGAGGCCATATACGCGTGAATTTTAATGTAATTTTAAATGAGTTGATTTAACATCATATACGATTTAATCTGTAATAATAAATTCGCTTTGAAAAGTATTACGGTGTATTCCGATTTGATTTGCGATACAGTACGACGGAAAAATGAGTCATCGCATATAGGTCGGAAATTTGCATTCTATACGATTTAACTTAAACATAATGCGATGCATCCCCAGCAAGAGAAAATAACGAATGAACACCTAATGCTGACCTGATACCAACATTTAGTATTTACCAGCATGACTACTTTACAAAATACTTTGTAAGTAACAAAAATTGATATTTGGATACCAAAAGAAAACCTGTGTGGTATTGCATCATCATAGTTTGGTATTAGACGGGTATTGTGGGAATATTTTTTTGGTATTATTTTTTGGTATTTTACCTCTTATATCAGGCTCATCCATACCAATTTAAGGTATCGAGAAATTGGTTCCTGATCGGAATGCCCCATTCTTATATGCGATTTTGGCTTAAACTGTAGCAATTTACGATACTGTCTGCATATTGTTATACGACTTCTGGTTGTCCGGGTGGTGGAACCGAATAATCAAGGGATTTTGTTTTTTAAAGTTCCGCTCTACCCGAGCAGGAGATAATAATTTGGTGCTGATCAGCCTGACATAAGAGGTAAAATACCAAAGAATAATTTTACAAAATTGCATGTAAAATACTTCGACACCAAAAGAACACCAGTGTGGGATTGCATTTGCATAATGTGGTATTGGAATGATATTGTAGGATTTTTTTTTGTTGGTATTATTTTTGGGTATTTTCGAGAAACTCGTTCCTGCTCGGGTAAGGATTATCATTACCCTTCCGCTTAAGTTGTGTAAGCAACAGCACAAAAGAACTTTCCATCTGTGCACTGGCTTTGGAATCTAAATTCCACTTTCATTGTCATTAAACTCGAGCCTCATTGCAGAATTCGAAACGAAGCATTTTTTTATGATCGCTTGTATGAGAAAGCCTGTCGTTTCAACTTCCACAATGAGAACACTTGTTCTCGAAAAGTAGGCAGCGAAAGCGATACAAAATTTACTTTTCAAAAATTATAGAGCTGGCTGAAGCTAACCTTGAAAAGCTATACGATTCTTCAATATATGTTTTCTCTGTGGAGCAGTACAAACGCAAAGTGGAACTAGCCTTAAACCGATCCGTAGTGAATCACACATATTTTCAAACACGAACGTGATAGGAATGAGCCATAACTTTCCAACCACCAGCGTAGAATTGGAAGAGAAAATTTCTTTCAATAGATGGTGGTGTGCGCTCGAGAAGCAGCTACCTTCAAACCGGAAGTTTCCATTTTCTTCCTTAGCTTTTTTCGGTCCTATTTAGGGTGGGAATCGAAATGAAAGTCGATGAAAGCAGTTGCTTTCGTTTGCGTTGAGTTGCTATTGTTTTGCGATGTGGGAAAGTTCCGAAGGAAAACGGAAATCATATTGTGTGCAGGTTGAAAATTTTCCACGAATGTAATGGCACTGTACGGTACAGTGTGGAATAATGAAAATGTACACCGTTCACAATAGAATGGAGGGAGCGCGGGGAACGAATCAGGAAGTCGGAATTGGTGAATCAACGAACGAACGATCGTTGCACCAGCAGGAGAAAAGTATGGATTATAATTATTTGTTGAACGCGTTTTTGCTAGCTGCACCGTGACTTAGCGAAGGAGCTAAGCGGGTGGATTTGTAGGTCGTGCTTTCAATTGGTGCTTGAAATTGCAGGAGGGAAATGAACGATTAAAAGTTTAATTATTTGTGAGCGGTACCATTTGGCTTCTAGTTCTTGAGAGCTGTAACTTAAAGAAAGAACAATGACTGCTTCAAGCGTTGGGATTTGCATTTTATTGGTCACATAGGTTTATTTGTTTCAGTGATTTCCGCCCAATGCTGTATGCTTCCGTGAGCAAAATTTTATATTTAACTATTTTTCCTCTTTATTAGCCACACACTTCGAAAAATTCATGTAAATTTCGGTGCCTTGAGACCACCACATGCAATCGGTCCTTTTGACATAATAATCAGTTGAAAGCAACGAGAAAAGCAATTCAATCAATATATGAATCGAAATTTGTAATAACCTTTAATCAATTAATAAATGTTTTTTAAACTTTCCGCCAATTCAAGTTTCGAATTAAATGAACTCGCCTCAAACCACAATCACAAATCAAATTCAATCCTGTCGAAAATAAAAAGCTTGCCAACTGGGACTCAAACCTTGTTGGTATAGTCGAAAGCGTAGACAGAACACGAAATATAAATGGCAAAAAACCATTACATCGTCTCCGAGGTCAACTTATATCATTTGCCGCGGGATTGGTTGCGAAGGAAGATAGGAAATGCAACTAACATTGAATGTAATAAATTTAAAATTGTGTACAAGCTTGTATGCAAAATTGCACTTACTTACGCTAAATGTAGCGTTAACAACGCTGAAAATTACATGAACTTTCAAACGGTGAACTCACTAATACATTCAAATTTTCTTCTTTTCCCTCCTAGACCACTATCTGAACCACAACCGCAAATCTGTACCGGCCAATTGCATGACCCGTTCTACACGGTGCGGTCTGCCATCACTCAGGTAAGATGACTGAATTTCACATTTCACTTTTAAAATTTACTTGTCAATGCAATCCCCGGAGGAACATTTAATTGGATTACATTTTCGTTTTCCGTCCGAATGTCGACTGATGTCTATTGCCCAACTTGACCAGAAAGTTTACCGCAACCAACTGGAAATTCCATTTCTGCTCCCGTTGACTCGCATTCTGTACCCTAATTAGATCTTACGATTGAAAGGACTTTCCCTTTTTCCGTGGTCCCCCGGTGAGTAATGTAGGAAAATGGTAAGTTACAATATTTTAACCGGAGCACGGGCCGCAGCCTGGGACGACTAGTGGGTGGGATGACCTGTTGGTTTAAGGTGTTTTTCGGTGCAAATGGAAACCCAAATGGGACATTCGCAGTGTCAAAAGATGGGACCGGTCGGTGACAATCTGTGCCATCTGTGGGAATGCTAATTGCTGTAGCTGGTAATTAATTTGGTTGTGTAAAAATAGATTTTCAGTTCCATTTGAAGTAGGAAACCTTGAAATCCACTGGACGAACTTTAAACGAACCTCAAACCGGTCACCACAGTCAACGAAGCCGACTCCAGGAGCCATACAGGTAGAGTGTCATTAAAACTAAAAGCATACGTCTATCTTCTGGGAAACGATTTAACCCAGTTTAGTCTTTCATCTTCGTTCCTTGCGGCCATGAATAGCTTCTGGTGCACCTCTGCCATCAGGCGACGATATTAAAAGGTTCTTAATTAATGTTTTAACTATGCATCATTATAAACTTAAGATTGGTACTTATTTTAACACCCTGGTCAGACCTGGGCTGCTTCTGAGGGTTATGCAAATTGTGTTGACACTGGTCGTTTCTCCGGGAAAAGCCTATCAATTTTTGGTTTGTTCTGAGGTTTAAGCGAAGAGTTTGAAGCAGGATTAAGCCACTTTAATCTTTTTGGGATAAATTTACGCATTATAGAGATGTTGTATCAGGAATAACTTCAAACCCATCAAATTCACCAGCAGACTGGTTCAGTAAGAATCACACTGTGGGAAATGTGCTCTATCTTGGGATTGGTTTGACGAAAAAAAAATATTGAGAAGTCAAACTGATCCATTTTAATTGAACTTTCCTAAAAATACCACAAAATTATTCCGTGGGAATTCAGGTAATGCACACGCTACTGGTCATCCTCAGCGGCCAGTTTGTTCCAACATGTGGCTATCTCTGCAGCGTCCCTAGTAACCATGCCAGTTTTCTTTTAGTTTCTTCAAAAAGCCTGAAATTTAGATGATAATGGTTTGTAGACTCGACTAGGAATTCTACGATATTCCAACTAAACTCGTGAAACCCTAGGGCATCATGGAACCCCATAATATCATGTAGGATACATAGTTATTATGACGAAGTATTTTGTGATCTCCAAATTATCCTGACGTTAAGATATCGAAATTCAGAACGCTCAGAAAAGTCTTGTACCATGATCTGATTCTTCTTCTCTCTTCTTCTTCGCATTTTAGGCTTATTGGTTATCGAATATTCGTTGTTGCGTGCTATCAGATAAGTGTTTTATAAACACTTTCACAGTTATTAATTGGGAACTTTCAATGACTGTACATTAGTACACACAAAATCACGGCCTCCTTGTTCGGTAATTTTTTACTGGGTTTTTGAACAGCTGAAAAAGTCAGTAAACTTAAAAAAATTGTAAAAAATTGTATAAAAGTGATTTTTTCTTGAAATTTATACAGACTGTGTTCTTATTACATTTATTTGATGATAAAAATAAAATATGTTAAAATTGTTCGTTGCATTACGTGTGACCGTTATTTTCAGTTTACTGACTTTTTCAGCTGTTTGAAAACCCAGTGAAAAATTACTGACCCCAGTAAAATAATCTCTATGTGTATAATTGTGTGGCCAGCACAATTATACTCTATGCCCAGAGAATTCGAGAAAGTTTCCAACCCGAAAAATTGCTAGACTGGATCGGCAATCGAAGCCAGATACCTCCAGCATGGTCTTGCTTTGTAGATGCGCCTTTACCGACTAAGGGATGACCTGATTCAATTTACACGAATTTGGAACTAATCGGGATGACAAGGGGGCCTGGTCCCCTTTAGAATGATCCAGGCCCTCTACAGATTTTAAGCATTAGCAGTAGCATTACGTCTTTGGGCAACATATTGGGGTGCAATTTAAAAAACCAAAATCGACCGCGTTACAAAAATTGGTCAGGTTTTGACCACTTATAACTCTGTCAATAGCGGTTGGATTCTTATTCTAAACAAGCCAATCGATTGGAAATTTTTCTACAAATCTGTTAAAATGACGACCTTTTCAATTTCAATAGGTCACTATTGAAAATTACACAAATGTCCAACTGTTGCAATGGTGAACAAAATTATCACCAATTGCCTGTAAAAAAGCGCTTTCCCTAACTCAGATTTCAAAATCGAATTCCATCCGGTATAACCGAACGGTGCTTATTCCATCACCGTGTATGGTGGTGTCCGGTCGGTCTTCATCAGCAGGAGCAGCAGTGCTTTCGGTGCGTGGCGATGAACATTGTTCTCCAGTACACAACGGAAGGCACATGAGCGTCCATTGACCGTAGAAGGAGGAAGAAGCCGCACCGTTACTGATCGGATTTAGTAGCTCTTCGTGAGTTGCTGTGGCATATAGCTAGTGATGTCCGATTTTCCCAAGTAATCGATTACATTTTTAAATGATAGTAATTGACATCGATTAATCGACATAAAATAATCGATTAATCGAAATAATCGATTAATTTTAATACTCTCTGATTAAAAAGAAAACCAACGTCTTTATGAAAGTGTTTTAACCAGATGTTGATTATTTATTCTTGGATCATATGTAAATTATTGTTTCGAAGTAGGGGAAATGGCTTCAATCTTGGCCTATTGATCTAAGATTCGGCAATTAAGAGAAAAGACAACTTGTATCTTTATAACGAATTGATTTTGACTCTAGCTGGAATCTCATTGCCTGAAAAAAAAAATACTACTCGAAACAAACAACTTCTCCAAAAGTATATCCAGAAACAGTATCATGTTAAGATGAGGGCCAGACAAACGGTTTCTTAACTTTGTTATTGTCTGACCTGCTTTAAAGAATAGACTTTCTGAACTTCATTGTGATGGAACATAGTTTAATCGATGCTCTGTTGGCTTGATGGAAAGTTCTTCATACATAGTTAAAGATGCTAAGCGTCAATTGACTTAAAGTGGTCATTTTTATACGATAGATGACGACGACAGCAACGGCGCCGGTGGTGTAGTGGTAAGCGTGATTACCTCTCACCCCAGCAGGCCTGGGTTCAATACCAGTCGGCGCCGCCGGGATGTTCTGAGGCATAACATCTCTGATCACGCCTTCCTTCGGATGGGAAGTAAAGCCGTTGGTCCCCGGTTCATGAGTTGATGGGTCGATAGGTAGGGTCCAGGTGTGGGAGCTGCCTTCCTGGCACGTCGGTAGCATTGGTGCTCAGCACGGAAAACAAGATCGACGGAAAAAACAAACCAAAGGAAAAAAAAAAAAGACGACGACACGAGCACGTACAGTGGTAGAGACAACAATAGCTGCAATTTCCAAACCTACGACTACATGCCTCCCTTCAGATAACGACTTGAGTGCAGAACAATCGATAGAACTGTTTCCACACATCGTTAGTACATGAACAAATCGGTGATCATCTCTTTTTGCCAGTGGTGACGTGGGGGACATCCCTCACCATCCCTCTCCAACTGGGGAGTTTGGTAAAGAGAGATGATCAACCCAATTCGTACTTTCCTCAAAGTTGTTCTTGTTCGCTTTCTACTCTCTATATACAATTTTTATACTGCCATACTCTCTATCGGAATAATCAACTTCATGCTTTCATCTCCTCATCTAATGTATAAAAATGACCACTTAATAACAGTTTTCTTATTTGACGCTTAATATCCTCAAATATGTACATAAATCGTTAACTTCACTTATGCAGTAATTCAAACAAAATAGTTAAAGTATATATACCCTAAAATAAATTCAACTCCTACTTCCAATGAATATATGAATAATCGTGCATTAATCGAAGCCAATTAATCGTTTAGTAGATTAGTTATTCGAGGCATTGAATAATCGATTAAAAATTAATCGATTATTTTAACCGATAACCGATTAGCTCGATTAATCGAGTAGTAATCGGACATCGCTAGGCATAGCGTCACTCTCGTTCCAAACAAAATACGGTTCGCCAGCCTCATCCGTGTTGAACACCCTATTAGCTTAGCATTAAGGCTTGTACTCGAAAAAAATGCACCATTTTTATCCGTGTGTAACTTTTTTATCCGTGGGTAAAAATTGATGAAAATCTGGGTATAACTAGAAGAGTGAATTGTTTACATGCGCAAAATTTCATAACAATCGGTCTAGTGGTTATTGAGATGTCATCGAAACAAGAAGAAAACCGCCGGAGAATTTTGCGCGCCGTCATGGAAAGTCCGACTGTGACCATGAGATGGATCGGGAGACAACTGGGAATTACCCATACAACTGTGTCTCGGGTGGTAAAATCGTTTAAGGAGTCCCAAACGACCGAGCGGCGGGCTGGAAGTGGAAGAAAATCGAAGACAGCTGACCCTGTGAAGGCTCGGAAGGTGTTGGATTATTTCAAGCGTAATCCGAATCTTTCGATTCGCGACGCAGCTCTGAAGGCAAAGTGTTCCGCCTGGTTCGTTCAGCAAACCATGAAACGAGCTAGGCTTCGTGTATTCAAGGTCCGGAAGGCACCGAACCGGCGTGATCAACAAAACACGGCGGCCAAATCCCGCGCAAGGAAGCTGTATCGAGAGTGGTTAACGAAACCGATGTGTGTGGTTAAGGATGACGAAACCTACATCAAGGCAGACGCAAAGCAGATACCGGGGCTAGAGTTCTACGTTGCCAAATCACGGTTTGATGTTCCGGAAGACATAAGGAATAAGAAATTGGACAAATTCGCCGAAAAATACTTGCTCTGGC